AATATCTTAGAGATATGGTAGAGATAGAAGCAATATATTAGAGATATGGTAGAGATAGAAGCAATATATTAGAGATATGGTAAAGAAAGAAAAAATATTTTAGAGATAAGGTAAAGATAGAAGTAATATATTAGAGATATGGTAGAGATAGAAGCAATATATTAGAGATATGGTGGAGATAGAAGTAATATATTAGAGATATGGTAGAGATAGAAGTAATATCTTAGAGATATGGTAGAGATAGAAGCAATATCTTTGAGATAAGGTAGAGATAGAATCAATATCTTAGAGATCAAATAAAATTAAAAAAAATAAAAAAGATAATAACGCAATATACGCAAGCACTTTTTATGTATACAACATTAGAAACGATTGTTTTTTTTTTCAGCACACAATATAAATTCATAAACACTTGTCATGTATACAACATAACCTTTGTTATTTCAGAACACAATATAGATACATAAACACTTGTCATGTATACAACATAACCTTTGTTATGTTAGAACACAATATAGATACATAAGCACTTGTCATGTATACAAAATAACCTTTGTTATGTCAGAACACAATATAGATACATGAAATCTTTTTATGTCAGATCACAATATACATATTAAAACTTGTTTCAGATGTCTGACCCGCCCCTTTATTATTATTATTGTTGTTATTATTTGACAAGAAGAGAAAAGAAGGCGTTCTCGTCCTATTTAGAAATGGGCGTCTTTAGATTAGAAATTCTTTGAGAATGCATCTCTAGGCTTTAAAAGGAACCTGTTTAATTATAGACAGACATTAAAATCAAATAAAGATTTCAATTTCATTATCTATTTTTCTTTGTGAAAGGGACTGGAAACGTAATTTAAAGTAATTTAAAGAAAAACAAGAATATCTCTGTCATCGATGATCAGACAAGGTAATTTTGATTGTTTGTAGTTAATTTTAAAAATCAAAATAGGCTTTTTCATTTCATTGCTTACAGAGGCAAATATTTAAAAATGTCTCTTCAGATAAACAGATTTTTTGGTTTTAATAATCTGGATAACAGTTGAGGTAATTTCTTCTTACAGAGACAACATTTTCAGAATTCCACTGCAGCTAAGGCAGTCTTTTAATTCTGATTGTGCATGCACTGTCTGGGAATGTTATCATGTTCAATATTGGTGTAATAAGTAAGAAACTGCTTTTTTTAACAAGCTACAATAATTCAACGAGTGAAGTTTTGTGCTTACACAAGTTACAACAGAAAAACGACTATTTAATAATTGAAGTTTTCATAACAAACGATAACACAGCAGGAAGACGACATATTTTCCACTGGAATTCTCACAACATGCGTTAACACAGCATGGGAAGACGACATATTTTCCACTGGAATTCTCACAACATGCGATAACACAGCAGGAAGAAGACAAAACTCGTAAAAAATCACTTCCAACCATCATTTCATTTCTATTCACACAATGGAGGAATAATTTAACATTCATTTAAATTCAAATTCCAAGCAAATATTGAAAGAACAGTTTAAAATATGGAGGGATGGGGGGAAGGGAGGAGGCAGGAGGGAGGAGGGAGGAGGCAGGAGGGAGGAGGAAGGAGGGAGGAGGGAGGAGGCATGGGGAGGAGGCAGGAGGGAGGAGGCAGGAGAGAGGAGGCAGGAGGCAGGAGGGAGGAGGGAGGAGGGAGGAGGGAGGAGGGAGGAGGGAGGAGGCAGGAGGAGCGAGAGAAAGACTGTTATATATTAACAACTGAATCGAAAAGCCCAATATTTGTTTAAACTGAATTACTATAACGAGCAAATATATATGTTGTTTGAATTAGTAATCTATCAAATATTTTGATATTTACTATCAAAAGTATAATGTTACAGCATGGGAAAATGTCATCACAAACCATTTATTTTGTGCATATGTTACATTAATTCCTAATTCATCACATAAAGTCACTACCCGGCATTACGTTTCCCCCTCTCAAAACAAATGATTTACCCAATTCTGAAAACTTATATTTTAGATAATTTTAGTGTTTACTAATTGAGAATTAAAATGTACGGTCACTATAAATTTTTATAGCTAAACAATGCCTTGGCTAATATCCATTCTGTTTCACCAAAGGGGGCAGAGCCTTCCGACCCCGTACATGTAGATTTGAATGTCGAGCTCTAATTGGCTGAGGTTTGACAAGTGTTTTTGGTAATTGTGATTGGTGGCCTTAGACCGACTTTAGGGTTACCGTCCGTCTCTGTTAATACAGGGTGTCCCAATAAACATGGGAATTCAGAGACGAATTCAATATCGTCTTTTTAAATAATTCATTGATTTAGTACAGTGATACCTACTGAGAAAACGTAATCCGTAAAATTTTCGTCTGCTATGTTTACAATTTGTTTGCTTATGTTTTGACTGTATACGGTTGTAAACTAGAAGATTATAGTATACAAACAGAGTAAGCTTATCCGTCTTCACTGTTCATCTTGCATGGAGACATTATAGACACTTTTTTCGACCATTTACCGTTTTCATTTTACAACAAAGACTAAAATCCAGAATTAGTGGGCAATGCTTGGCCTCACGTCAAACTAAAGTAAATTTCACGCAAGATTTATATTTTTCAATCATAAGTCTTTTTATTAAATAGGCGCTATTGAGAAGAACAACAATCACAGTGAGAACCGAATAGCTCAGGAATAAAAAGAGGATTTAATGACTCATGAGATGGAATTTAAAGAATTTGAGCCGCGGTTTAAATCTACCAAAACCCGGTTTAAATTGAGCGCCGGCTTAAATCTTGAAACAATTGATACAATTTTAAGATATTTAAGCCGCAGCTTAAATTTAAACCGCCACTTTAAATTCTTTAAATTCAGCCAATGTTTTGTTTTTAATACAGTGAAACCCTTAATAGCGAATACATCGAAAGAATTCATCAAATGTCGTATTCTTCACTTTCTGATAATGGAATGTTGCAGATATTTAGTTTTTTAATTAAATGATTATATGGAAATCTTTAAAACTGTTCCCGCATATTCATGGCTATTTATTTATTTTCGCAAATACTGTTTACGTAATATAGTATAAAACTCATTGAAAAATAGTCAAGACGACATTTGATAAATTCTTCCGATGTATTCGTTATAAAGGGTTTCACTGTAGTTTGCAATAAACATGAGACACAAAAAATGTGCGGTGTAAACAGACCCATTTAACTTAATAAGTGTTTTAATAAGTTACTAGTAAAACTGTTTACTTTGCATCAGCATCAAATAAAGTTCAGTTTTCTATAATGTCGTCTTACTATTCCACTGTTTTATGGTTCTCACAGTAATATTTATATCTTTTCTGAACTGATCTACTTAAGTGAAGACACAGAAGATCTACAGAATATTTGTGATATTTATCTTGGCAAAAAAATACAATAAATAAATCCATTAATTTTTATATTCAAATACTTGCTCGAACAAAAACAATATTCAAAAAAGAAATTTGTAAGTTTTGCATTCTCCGAATTTCGGAAAATTTTAAAAAATGATTACTAAATTTTGTTTTTAAGCTGTACATTTTCTACCAGTCTTCATTTCTTCTTCAATCCAGGGAATAAAACTTGAAACCCTGAAAATATCGTAGATTAAATATTTGTCAATTTTTTCTCAGATAATTATTATCAATATTTATTACAGTGTGACCCACAGAAAAGGAAGTAAGCTGAAATTTGAAATTGTTTTTGATCTTTAATTAATTTTGAATCTTCAGAAAAAGATTTTATTAGGAAAATTGAGAAAATGGAAATTTTTACGAAAAATAAAAAGTAACATTTACTGCAATTTTGAACGCAGAAACCGGGTCGAAGACATTATAAAAGCTCAAAGTTTTATTAAAAATGATTTCCCTTTCCAACAAATGTTTCTATGTACTGTTAAATAAATATTCCATTTGCTATAATTTTTTTTTAATTAAAACATGTTTATCCTCTGGATTTTGAGATCAGTCGCTGCATCTAAGTGATATCTCTAACAAAAGTTTAACCCTTAGTTAATAAGTTTTTTTTAAACCTTGTATAAACACCAGGATAAGTGGCTGCTGCACAGCCTAGACCCCAGCTGACTATACCAACTATTGTACTTTTAGTACCAAATCTTGACACTAGAGGCCCTCCAGAGTCCCGCTTACATGCGTCCTGAACGAGACAAATACAAATCTTAAAACTTGGTTGATTCAACTATAAGGACTAAAATATCTGTTTGGCCCAATCTCCTCGGCTCTTACATATTAAACAGAGTATCCTATGAAAGATGACAGTTGTGAGATTGCTTGATGATCGTCTTTATCGTTGACACATACAAAATTTGCGGTATTCTTCCTAAACCTTTAAATTTTACAATTGAAATTCTACAATTAAAAATTTGAAAATTAGCCTTCGTCCTTCACCTGGTTCATATTTTTAGCTTTATCTAATCAACTTAGATCTAAAAGAATTTTTTAGTATCAAGGGTAATATTGAAACCACAAAAATTTAGGCAGACAACATTTTGGAAATACCAAAAAAGGTGAACTTTGTGATTACTGCTTCAAGGATCGTACATGTAAGAACCGAATGTCAAAAACGAATTTTCAACGAATCATTTTTTTAAATATACCTTTCCCCCTTCCGGTACACTGGCACAGAGCATTGTATTTAGAATTCTTGTTTTGTAAACATCATTCAGAGAGGAACACATACTGTTAGATATTATATTTACATCAACCTCTCTCAAACTAAAATATATAAATTTAAATTTTCCCCACAGTTTCTTATTGGTAAAACTTTAGGGAGCAGTGATGTCATTTACGGATATAACTGTCCAAATTGTTTATGAGACAACATTTTCTTTACATGGGAGCCCATCGAGAATACGCAACCTTACTTGAACAACCTTGGGTATGTGTCATCATCAATGTTTGTAGATCAAAAGTCATGGTGAATAATGATTTTCAATCAGTTCGAAAATATGCTTGAATTTGGCTCCGGTGCTTAATTCAACAATTTTTGTAGATGCAATTGTCAGAAATCAGCTTATTTTGAATAGCAATTATTATACAACGATTTCACAAACCCGGAACCACCGTTATCAAGGTTGTATAATAAGGCTGGTTACTCTCGATGCGCTCCGATTTACGGAAAATGTCGTCTCCTGAGATAGATAGACAAAAACCTAATATGACGTTATAATGATCATAGAGGCGAGAGCGACGTCATATTAGGGGTTTATCTATCTATCTTAGGATATAACATTTTCCGTACATGGAAGTGCATCGAGAGTAACCAACCCTGAATCACCGAATCAAAAATTATCATGAATATTTAGCCTTGAATTGGCTTGACTTTTGCTTTATTATTTTTTGATTATTGTTTTTATAAGACTACAGTGATAACCACAAAACTCTGAAATAGGAAGTTAGGACTTAAACTAGTTCAATGAACATTAGACATAGCAATTGTACAGTGTGAATATACCCCTTTTCAATTAAATTGAGCTTTGCTAAGTAAGTAGTGAAAATATTTTCTTTGTAACAACATCAAAATGCTTAAGTATTGCTATAATGTCGTCTTTCTTTTCCATTGTTTTCTAGTAATCACTGTAATTACTATCATAGTCCTTATTTTCTTACAATTCCTTGAAATTTCATGTACAGTGGTCGGAAAGATGCTATTTATTACATGGTTTATGTGTATCCACTATCCATGCTGCTTAAAAGCTTGGGCAGAAATAAAAAACTAAATCGAAAGTTGTTTTCATTATATAGATAATAGATATATACGACGCCGACTGTTTGATAAAATGGAATGAGTAAGAAAGATCAAAAAAATATAGTTTATTTTCTACCTTGTACTTGCTTCTGAATTATCTTCTTGAATTACTCCAAACCCTGACACTGTTGCAACACTTCCAACTGAATTCAGGGATTAGAAAAAACTACATTCGTTGTCGTACATATCAATACAATACAGACGACTTTCGATTTAAATTTTTGATTTCTACTAAACTTTCAAGCAGCATGGATATATGAACATGGAAACAAAGAGAAGCTGCCAATTCAGAGCTTTTCTTTGTTTACTTGAAAAAAGCTTCTTTGAAAACTTAAATATAAAAGTCGTCTTTGTTGTATTGATAAAAACGCTAACCAATTATAACATATGAGAACTGTAAAATAATTGTTGAAAGAAGACGGAAAGAAGAATCATTTAGTTTGTCTGTGAAAATTCTTTTCTTTACGTCCCAACAAAAATCAAAAAGTCACTTCCAAGAATTATACCTTTTCTTAATAATGCTTTTTTCTTCAAAACACATCCCACCCCCAATACATAAACGATTCTTAACTGATTCAAAATTATAATATTAACAATCTCATAGAAGAAACATTTTGAAATAAAAATATTTGAAATTCTGTTGATTTTGTCAGTTTGGATTATTTTTAACAATATTTTTGATTTTTGATGTATGGACACCCTAATATACCTGCGGGGCTTTGGTTAAAAAGTGGTAGGCAAGCTGGTAAAATTGAACCTAAAAATGTGAATTTATATTTGTAAAAAATTGCCAATAAATCAAAGCTTAATTAGGTTTGATTGGCGGTTCTTATTATGAAACAATAACAATTGATGAAGATTTTTTGTTTTCTTTATGTGGATTACCAACATTTTTACAAATTAAATAGTTTTGATGCAATCTTTTTAAATTCTCACCAAAAACCCTGCCCGGGATCATGTGAGTTTCCACACAAATTTGGGCCCTATAAGTTTTGGCCTTTTTTTGTGCAGTCATCGTCGTCGAATTTATAATTACAATAATGGTGATTTTGGATTTAAATCTTTTATTCCTACCAAGCTTTCAAACATGTGATACACATCATCATGGTAAGAAACAGAAGCTGCCATTTAACAGCTTCACTTGGTTCACTTTTTTACTTGTCATTGAAAAAGCTGGTAGGTAATAAAAACTCAAATAGAAAAGTCGTCATCATTGTATTGATATAAACGCCGACAACTGTACAAACAGACAAATAAACCGATAGTCAAGCCAAACACATACACATGCATACATACATATCTACAGATACATGTACATACAAATCTAAAGATACATACACATACATACATACATATCTACACCTACATACACATACATACATATCTACAGATACATACACATACATACATACATACATACATATCTACAGATACATACAAATACATAGATATCAACAGATACATACACATACATATTTGCAGATAATTCAAAATTACTTGAAATTGGAACTGTTGTCTGAAGTGTGATGACCGCAATATCATTGGCGAGTGTATCAGAGTTAAAGGACGGATGGAGGACGACCTAAACAGTATCAGAGTTAAAGGATGGATGGAGGACGACCTAAACAGTATCAGAGTTAATGGACGGATGGAGGACGACCTAAACAGTGTCAGAGTTAAAGGACGGATGGAGGACGACCTAAACAGTATCAGAGTTGTTAGAGGATGGAGGATGACCTAAACAGTATCAGAGTTAAAGGAAGGATGGAGGACGACCTAAACAGTATCAGAGTTAAAGGACGGATGGAGGACGACCTAAACAGGTTCATAGTTAAAGGACGGATGGAGGACGACCTAAACAGTATCATAGTTTAAGGACGCATGGAGGTTGACCTAAACAGTATCAGAGTTAGAGGATGGAGGACGACCTAAACAGTATCAGAGTTAAAGGACGGATGACGACCTAAACAGTATCAGGGTCAAAGGACGGAGGAAGATCTAAACAGTATCAGAGTTAAAGGATGGAGGACGACCTAAACAGTATCAGGGTCAAAGGACGGAGGAAGATCTAAACAGTATCAGAGTTAAAGGATGGAGGACGATCTAAACAGTATCAGAGTTAAAGAAAGTAGGACGACCTAAACAGTATCAGAATTAGAGTATGGAGGACGACCTAAACAGTATCAGAGTTAAAGGATAGAGGACGACCAATTGAGTAATTATTTTCACCTTAGATATTGATCTAATAGTTCCCTCTGCAGTATCATCAGTGTTGTATTTGCTAAAAAAACGTTTAAAGTGTTAAAAAATTTTTTTGTTAAAATCATGAAAACAAAATATATTTTAAAATTTATATAAAACTTTTTTGTACAAACTATAACGTAAGCTTTCCGGGACCGAAACGAATAAATTTGAGTTAGGTTGCTGAACTACTGCCGCACGGTTCAAATTTGAACCACCGATTCAAAATCAAAGATTAAGATAGATCTAATTCGGTGATTCAAATTTAAACCCGCGGAAGGCAGTTCAAATTCATGAAATTCAATCTCTGATTTCGTTTATTAAATGTGGAGTAAACAAACTTACTTTAATATGATTTGAATAATTGCTAAGGTTGCAGTATCAACCCCCTCTAAACAATGTGCTGCTGTTAAAACATGCCTGAAACACATATTTGTTATTATATTTACAGGGATGATACTATCAAGACGACTTGAAACTCTGAAAGTATGACGATCCCAAGGGTTAATTTTAATTAAGTCTGAAATGTCTTGAATGATCTTTAAATGGCGTTATTAATGATTGCGCAAAAAAAGAAACATGTTTGTAGTTGCTGGGAATCATGAATATAAGGAAACAGACAGATAAGTTCCATAAAGTCGTCTTCAAAGTCTCATATTTTGTGAGAAACCCTTTATTTTTATAGTTCATATTCCCTCCCTGCCGTAAAGTCATTTTTTATGTAATTTAAGAATGAATTATTTTCCAGAAATATATCATTTTTCCAGAAATATATCATTGTCCAGAAATATATCATTCTCCAGAAATATATCATTTTCCAGAAATATATAATTATCCAGAAATATATCATTTTCCAGAAATATATCATTATCCAGAAATATATAATTTTCCAGAAATATATCATTATCCAGAAATATATCATTTTCCAGAAATATATAATTATCCAGAAATATATCATTTTCCAGAAATATATCATTTTCCAAAAATATATAATTATCCACAAATATATCATTTTCCAGAAATATATCATTTTCCAGAAATATATCATTTTCCAGAAATATATCATTTTTCCAGAGATATATCATTTTTCCAGAAATATATCATTATTCAGAAATATATCATTTTTCCAGAGATATATTATTATCGAGAAATATATCATTTTTCCAGAAATATATCATTTTCCAGAAATATATCATTTTCCAGAAATATATCATTATCCAGAAATATATCATTATCCAGAAATATATCATTTTCCAGAAATATATTATTATCCAGAAATATATCATTTTCCAGAAATATATCATTATCCAGAAATATATTATTTTCCAGAAATATATCATTTTCCAGAAATATATCATTTTTATTGTTGTTAAGGTTTTTCTGCTTGTTAACGCCTATCCCAGCCAGACTGAGGGGACCTTCAAGGGGAACTTAGGCGACCCTTGACTTCCAGTTTCTTCAATATTTGCAAAACAATATCAAATTTCTTGTAACATGAGAATAAAACCATTCAAATATTTAGGAATTCTGATAGTATCCTGCTCCCCGTTCCTTCTGCAGCCTATGTCCCCCTGCTGACTTGCTTGAAGTCAGCGCAAGTCCTAACTCAGTTTTATGTTCCGATCATATTTTTTAATCATTAAGTCCTCCTCGACGGCCTCCTGAGGCGATGCTCGTTTTTACAATTAAGATCATATTTCAGGCACATTTGTCTTTTAATTCCATCGAGGTATAACGGTTAAAAATTAGAAAAAATATGTTCGTAAGAAAAGAAAATGAAGACGACCTTTATTCCTGTTTTTACTCCTGAATATTGCTACCTGTCTGATATAAGAGTACCTCCACAGAATATATCAGGCCCAGAGACTGCCAGGCTAGCCTAATATAAATATAAATACGACTTTGATATCGTCTTTGTAAATTATTCTGTAAGCTATAGTATATTTATGCCAATTACACTGTAAACTCCGGTTTATTTCAAGTACCGGGGCGACTTTTAAGCAGCTAGAGCAAGCTGAACAGTACATACAATGTATGGCAAAACAGGACAGTACACCAACAAATCAGCCCCTTTTATGGAGATGAATATGACTAAGAAAGCTGTAATCCGCAGATGTCTCGTCTGCTATAAAGTTAAGCATTTGTTTGTTTATATTTTGATTGCAGTAATTAGTAAATTAAGAAATTCCTGCTTACAAACAAAGAACAGTTGTCCCTCTTCGCTGTTAATCTAGCAGAAATATTACAGACATAACATCCAATGTTTTGTAGATCAGCAAAACAGTCTTTTACCGTTTAAATAAAATATACTCTCTCAGACCTTTAACTCTATAATTATGGCAATTGAAATTAGGGAATACAATTATACAACGATAATTCTGCACAAAAGGCGATTTCGTATTCTTCACTTAATTCCCATGTTTATTGTGACACCCCATATGTGTTTTGTGATGGGAAATAACTCGTTTTTGCATTATTTTATGGTTTTTGGAATTTTCAAAATTCTTCGTTCTAAAATTTTGTATTTTTAATTGGAACTAAACAGTAAACCTCAAAATGAATTTTAAAAAATCAAACCTGAAATTGGTTCAATCAAATGTAACTAACCTAAAGATAAATTCCAAAAATCAAACCTAACAAAAAACTATAACTAAAATTAATCAAAATGCTTAAATTGTCACAAGTATTCAGAGACGACAAATCGGACTTTAGTTTATCAATTTGTTTTTTTAAGCCACAATAAAATGTCTCAATGCAAAGCGTTGTGCTTCTAACTCACTTATGCTTTTTTGTAGTCCTAGACATGTACATTTTAAACAATAAAGCACTTGCATTTAGTTTAAAGTCTTTTAAAAGTAATTGGCAAAATTTTCATTAATTCTATGTAAATGGTTCTATGCATTGGATATGTTAACTTGTTTTCTTTTTTTTAAACAATAAAATTTATCCTTGAATTAACATTTAACCTTTAAAGTTACAGGTCGTCCTTAAAGTTTCATCCTTTATTTGTAACTCTGTATAAATAACTAACCTGCCAGGGAAATGATCCAGTAGCTGCAATTGTTCCGCCGATTATTCGACTAAAAATACAACGAGACCCATAAAATTTGGAATACGAAGACGACTTTTTTGATTTTAAAAGTTCAATGAACACAGACATGTACAACTGCAAGTGTAACAAACTGGTTTCAAGCTACTGGAAAGCTACATTTGCTTTGCACAGCAACATTAGATACTCATTAGATTGCATAACTGTAGTTTTTAGGGTCCCTGATCAAGAATTAACAACTTAACTCTCAGGGTAAAATATTGATAAGTTTTAACTTAAGATAGAATAAATTATTCTACTTTTATCAATTTAAAATGTATACAATACGAATAACAATAGATTCAATATTTAAATATATTGATCTTAATTTAGAAGAATCAGAATAAATGTGCTTCGACATTATTCAAACTTCTACTTTCTAAAAATCGATAACTGGACATGTTCAGAAAGAGCAGTACGTTCGTTTCGTAATCGGTATTAACCATTTTTTTTGAATTACCATTATTTAACGATCTCAATTTTATTAACGACGTTAACGAAATTTTTTCAACCACTGTTAACTCCATGGTGGTTAACGGTCTATTACATTATTATCGGCGCTTCGTTAACGGTTAAAGATATTGTTAACGGCGCATCTGATAAAGGTCAATTACAGTATTAACGGTTTACAAATTCGTTAACGGCAGCCGTTAACGGTCTATTACAGTATAAACGATGTACGAAATCTTTAAGGGTCTATTTCAGTATTAACGGCGCAAAGTGCCAAAAAAATTGTTAACGGTTATGAAATCATTAATAGTGGAGCAGTTAACAGTCTTTGTAGTGTTAAAGGCGTTAACGGTTTGTCAAAAAAAAATTCAATTCTTAGCATTTAAGGTTTATGAACACAGAAGACGACATTTAAAATCATCAAATCAAAAAATCCCTACATTTAAAGATTCGGTATACTATAAAGCTTTTTCTTATCAATGCATGATAATGATATCCTCTTTCAAAGTTGATTAGTTTAAGTTGTGGTCGTTCTTCATAATAAGACTTTCTCCTTCAGAAACAATATGACAGAAATTGTCAAAATTAGACAAGTTTTAAGCAAGAAAAACGACGACCTTTTCCAAATTTTTATTTGAAAAAGGTTTAAAAGGCACGGTTGTGAGTCGGACATTTCCCTTCTTAAACTGAAGTTTACTTGAGAGTTCAACGATATTTTACAAAGAAAAGTTCAAACCTCATCGATTGTGAAGACGAATTTCCAAGGAGGGTGCGGATGCTTTTTGCTCTAAATACAAGTAATGTATTATTTACTGTACTGTAATATATTAATATAAACAGAGATTTTTTCGTGCGAACTCTTGCAAATTCTATTTTCCTCTCGCGAAGAATCTATCATGATCTGAAGACACAGTTTGTCCTTTTGACTGAAGAGCATGGTAATTGGAAATCCAATTCAACTGGTGAAACAAAATAAAGAAAATTTGTAAAAATCAAAAAAAAATTGCTGTGACCAAAAGACAATCAATAGTTTTCGTTTTAGTTTTTCTGAACTTTTAAAAACAATTAAGAACTATCAATACTACATTCAGATTCATCAGTTTCTTCTTTTTTACCTGGAAATAGAGGAAGTAATCCCACATTGGCAATTTAATGTGGCTGATGGTTTTATAACAGGTCGGGTCTCCACTAAACACAAAATGGAGTTTAATAAAAGTGGAGGTCAAGTAATGAAATTAAAGTTGAGAAACAAATAGAAGGCACGGGTTTAAAAACAGCAAATGGAGGTTTTAAGAATCTCGAATAACAATTAGAGGTTTAAGAACAACAAATAGAGGTTTAAGAACAACAAATAAAGGTGTAAGAACAGAAAAAGGAGGTTTAAGAACAACAAATAGAGGTTTAAGAACAGCAAATAAAGATTTAAGAACAGAAAAAGGAGGTTTAAGAACAACAAATAGAGGTTAAAGAACAACAGATAAAGGTTTAAGAACAACAAATAGAGGTTTAAGAACAACAATTGGAGGTTTAAGAACAACAAATAGAGGTCTAAGAACAACAAATAGAGGTTTTAGAACAACAAGAGGAGGGTTAAGAACAACGAATAGAGGTTTAAGAACAACAAACAGAGGTTTAAGAACAGCAGTAAAGGTTTGAGAACAACGATGTTAAAACAACAAATTAATATCGCGAACAACAAATGTGGGTGTAGGAACAACAAATCGACTGGTAAAATGTGTAATACAAAAACTTTAAATACAAAGGTTCGCAAATATGTTTTTTTTTGGAAATTAGTGTTTCTGCACTGTACAAAACGTTGACACTTGATATGTAAACCCAGAGAAATGTCCAACTTAGAAGACGACATTTTCCCTCTTCATATTTATGAGTCTAGAGAAGAAATTGCTCCAGTCACGACTTGCTTAACTTCTTCTCTTCGTCGAGACCAGTTTAAACACCAGAGGGAGAGCGGTTTTCATTTGAACACTATTGTGTGACAAGAAGTTAAAGAACAATTTAGTCTTAGTCTCTTAGATAGTTGATGAAATTTGTGATTTTTTATTGTGAACACTTTTGCTAAACCGAACAATTCAATTCAAATAAAATAAAATATATCACCTCTTTTGTTACAAGAAACAGAACAGCGGAATTTATCCTGTGAGGAATTCCCTAAAATGCAGAAAAAATGTTTTTGTGTTGTGATACATTTTTTAAAACTGGGGGGGGCAAGTCCCAGTAACCTCCTCGCCTATTTCCTTATTGTGATACAAATCTAAAACATACTTTTGGAAAGCCCTTTGGCTCTACTTTAATAATATGCAAAAAAATTTGCAAATTTGCAAAATTTCAAATATTTTTTGCAATTCCAGTTACTAAGCAAAAAATTTGTAAACAAAAAGTGCGCGAATTATACATTTTTGAAAAACCTTTACCACAGCGAATTTAAATTTGAGAAAATTTTACAGAGAAACCCTTAATAACGAATACATCGGAAGATCTTATCAAATGTCGTCTTAACAATTTTTCAATGAGTTTTATACTATATTACGTAAATTTAAGTTTTTGCGACAATAAATAAATAGCCATGAATATGCGGGAACAGTTTTAAAGAGTTCCATATAATCATTTAATTAAAAAACTAAATATCTGCAACATTCCATTATCAGAAAGTGAAGAATACGACATTTGATGAATTCTTTCGATGTGTTCGTTATTAAGGGTTTCACTGTAGTAAAATTTTTGAAAACTATACTTTTTTTTAAGGAAAACTGAAAATGTGCAAATTCTCTTTAAAGGCATCTGTGCAAAAACCTATGCCAAATTTCTTCGCAAAAATTACGCAATCTGCATTCTTTTGTTCAAAGGATTCAAAGCTTTCTAAAGAGCTATACAAACTCAAAATTCAATGAACGGAAGTAGATTTAAATATAGATTAAGTCATGGTAAAGGTAAAATAAGGCATTCAGGCAGTATGCCTGAGGACTCAGGCATTAGGTATAAAAGTCCAGCTTTTAGCCTGAAATAAGGGGCATGTACTAGTTAGAAAAGTCAAAAAAATTGAACAGCCTGAGACAAATACTTTTTTAGTTATGTCCAAAAAACGTCAGGGAGGGGGTCCCAGGGACCCCCCTTCATGCCGAAATAGGGTTAACAGTACCTTTCACATTTTTAGAAGAATAAAACCTAACTTACCTAACCCAAGGTTCAGATATCCGGCTGTAAATGCGCGTCTAAAGGTAAATGTCAAAATTAAAAACAGAAAAATGAGAAAACAGCTTTCAGTTAATTCATTATTCTGTAATACTGAACACCAAAAGCATTTTTAGATATTTTATATAACACTATTCATGGTCGCTTTTCAGTATAAATCGTAATATACGAAGTGAAAATTCGAAACTCAAGTCTAATTAAATTAAAAGATTAGTATGCGTGAAGCGTTCTTAACATACCTAGTTCGGAGAGGTTTCTGGAAGGTAGGTGGGACCTGCTTTCCACACCATTTTCTAGGATTTCTTCTCTCAACAATCGTAACAATCTTTGTCGAAAAATAACATTTTCTTAAGGAAGACAATTTAAAAAATAATAAGAAGACGACTTTAAATAAACATTTTCCAAAGTAAAAATTTCCTCTCTAGTATTTATTTACACTGATTTGATCTGATTCTTGCTAAGAATTAAGCCTTTTTGTCAATTCTATTGCTTGATGAAGAATTTAGAAAATGAAGACGTTTTTCCTAAATCCAATCATGAATTAAATAAAAAATATATTTGTTTTTTTTTCCTTTCTTGAACATGTGTCGGGTGATGTCTCAGAACTTACAGAAAACTCAGAACAAGAAAAGGTTATCCTAAAAAATATTTGTTTTTTCATTTTTCCTTTACATTGTCTTTTTATGGTTAACACGGTTCAAGGTTCCAAAACGATATGTTTTAATATTTTTATCATGGTTAACAAGGTTCAAGGTTCCAACACGATATGTTTTAATATTTTTATCATGGTTAACAAGGTTCAAGGTTCCAACAAGATATGTTTCAATATGTTTATCATGGTTAACAAGGTTCAAGGTTCCAACACGATATGTTTTCATATTTTTATCATGGTTAGCAAGGTTCAAAGTTCCATCACGGTATGTTTTCATATATTTATCATGGTTAACAAGGTTCATAGGTTCCATCAAGATATGTTTTCATATTTTTATCATGATTAACAAGGTTTTAGGTTCCATCACGATATATTTTTATATTTTCATGATGGTTAACAAGGTTCAAGGTTCCAACACGATATGTTTTCATATTTTCATCATGGTTAACAAGGTTCAAGGTTCCAACACGATATGTTTTAATATTTTCATCATGGTTAACAAGGTCCAAGGTTCCAACACGATATGTTTTCATATTTTCATCATGGTTAACAAGGTCCAAGGTTCTAACATGATATGTTTTCATATTTTCATCATGGTTAACAAGGTTCAAGGTTCCAACAAGATATGTTTTCATATTTTATCATGATTAACAAGGTTGAAGGTTGTAATCATGATTAACGTGATAATTAGGCGATTAATCACGTCAAACATTTATCTTTTCATTTTCTAAAATTACTGGACTTAATAATTACGTTTTTCCTAATTTGTACATTAAACAATTAAAGAAACATTTACAATTATTATAAATCATATATTATTAATAATCATGTCAAGTTCTTGAATACGCTGCACCATTGATAGAGATGGGCATCTTTTGGAAACAAACAAAATTAATTCAGTTAATTATATAATTATTATTATTAAGTCAGAAATAAATTGAACGATGGACGAACGCCTTGGATCGTTTAAAAATGAAAATTGGTTTTTATAAACGAAAGATTTAAAATCGTTCGAATGTTCTTAATAGTTCATGTACGATTTCTAAATCATCTATTCAAACGAAATATAGGAAATTTTAGTCTGGGAATGATCGAATTTTTGTTTTTAACGGTTAAAAAACGAAAGAAATGGGTTGTTTCAAACAAGATGAAGGAACGAAATGAAAGAATTAAAACTAGCCCATCTCTATAATACTTTGCGGTGTTTTATTTTCATTGGACTAATCAAAATCAAAACTTGATGCTAATTACTATTTATACTACTACTAACGACTATTCCAGAGTTTTATGGGTCCCACTGCAAATAAAAAAATTTAATAATCAATGTTTACCGGCAGTTTGTAGGAAAAAACTTCCATAGACAGAGAATAGAAGAATATCCAGGAGCAAAGACGATATCCCCAGAGTCTCCATCACTTATAAGAAATAATCAGATACGGTGGTAGGCGATTATATCAATATTATGAAGATTACTTTCGATTTCAATTTTGATTTTATCAAGCTGTTTAACAGCATGTATACACATAAACATGGAAACAAATAGAAGCTGTCTTTAAAAAAGCTTCTCTTAATTACTTGTAAACTTTTAAATCGAAAAAAGCTTGTTAACAATAAAAACTGAAATAATAATCGTCTTCATTATATTGTAATAATCGCAAGCACGTAAACATTTTAAATTAAGATTTTCATCAAACTTCGTAAAATCTCAAATCCTGAATAGATGAAATTGCTGAAACATGAGGCAGTCCAAAAAAACATAGCATGCCGTGCCAGTACGAGTATGGCCTAACTGGCTGGGCGTATATTAGAGTCTTTATTTAGTCTTATAGTTTAGAAGGTTGAAAAATGCAGAAGAGGAATATATTAAATAATTTCCTAAGATAACATAATCCTTAATGTTTTCCAACAACATACAGTGTTATCCACTCAGGATGAGACTAAATTAACGACGAATAGTTTTTAAATTCTTTGTTTCTTATTTGTTTCTTTGTTTCTCCCTTCATATGGTTTCAAGGTATGGACACACACGTTAGACTCCATATTTACATACAGTGGTACTGGTAGGCGATTATATCAATACAATGAAAACGAAGTTTGATTTCCATTTTGATGTATATTAATCTGTTAAACAGCATGGATACACATAAACATAGAAACAAAGAGAAGTTGTCAATTAAAAAAGCTTCTTTTTGAATACTTGTAAACTTGTAAGTCTAAAAAAGCTTGTTAACAATAAAACTGAAATTAAAAAGTCGTCTTCATTGTATTGATATAATTGCATACCACAGTAGTTAAGGAGCGTTGTGTCGTCATTAGAATCTCATCCTTTTTGTATAACACAGTATTTTAAGTAATATAAAACACATATTGTAAATTGTACCTGATTTTATAACCTTGGTAAAACTTTCCATTACAGCTCAGTTCTATATTATCTAAATATATCATCCATAGTTTTCTGGTTCTCACTGTACATCTTTGCTTTTATTACATATATTCATAAAAGTTATAATTTTGAGGAAAATAAAGGTTGTGAGGAATTTATCCTGGAAAGGTTCTAGTTTAAAATACATGATAACTGAGATAAAATTTATTTATATTTTAAGGGTCACAGCCAACAGGAGAGCTTTGTAAAAACAGCTCTAAGCTATCTAAGCACTCCTGCCGCAGTAGTGAAACAAATATTTAATGTACTAAGTGTTGTGATTTATCAATACTGAAGAGAAATGTATGATTTGATTTGTTTCGCTTGATAAGTGTGACGAACAAAAACTTTGTTATAATCAAGCTATTGATGTAAATTCATGAAAAATAATGGCGGGTCAAAAGCTGGGGAGAGGTCGGGGAGATAAACCTCCCCCTCACCCTCCTAGAAAGTGATCACAGAGTAAACGTATGAATGTGCAACCTATGTTCATTGTTCTTGGGATAGGCTAATATTTCTTTCAAGGCCACACCATTTAACAAAAAATAGAAACCATGTTTAAATGACAGAGATGACAAAAGAAACCCATGTTTGCAAGTAGGGTAACTTGAAATCACGCTTACAGTCCCTGTAAAGGAAAAATTGCATTGTTGATTTAGACCTAATTCCGGCATATTTCAAAACTCGACGAAGATATATCGTAATTGATTTTGTATTAATCTTAAACTTTAATTTTGTCTCGGGAATTCAAAAGTTGTATGCCAATTTTTAAAGAGGCAGAAGTAAAAAAGCTCTAAAAATATAAAATCTATTTTTATAACACTCTTTGTAATTTATTAGCTGACGCCTCTTAATTAACATGTTCATTGGGACACCCTGTATTTAATAATGAAAAGCTGACTCATGTTTATCAAGACATCCTGTAACAATGGAAAGATAACTCCCATGTTTATTAGGACACCCTGTACATAATAATGGAAAGTTGACTCCCATGAATATTGGGACACCCTGTACATAACAATGGAAAGTTGACTTCCATGTTTATTGGGACACCCTGTACATAACAATGGGAAGTTAACTCCCATGTTTAATGGGACACCCTGCACATAACAATGGAAAGTTGACTCCCAAATGGGAAGTTAACTCCCATGTTTAATGGGACACCCTGCACATAACAATGGAAAGTTGACTCCCATGTTTATTGGGACACCCTGTACATAACAATTGGAAGTTAACTCTCATGTTTATTGTGACATCCTGTATACAACAATGGAAAGTTAAATCGAGCTTAAAGACGACATTTAGTTTGGGAGGCTTAACAACTTTCATTTGTAATAAATAGCGTGAACGGAAGTGGCAGTTTGGGGCCTCTACTTCCGGTTTGGGTCATTGTTAGCTGTAATAAACGTGTGTTTGAACTTACTGTTTTAACAGCAGATAAATTATTGACTAGGATTCACCAAATGTAATGTTTTTTTGAGAAAAGGGTTCAGCAATTTTTGTCTTTTTTTATAGTGTTCATCGATTACTAAATAATCAGGAATATATACTTGTTCAGAAGCAAACCATTACTCTTAAAAAAAACAATAATGGAGGTTTGAGGGAGGTTTAGTGTATATTTTCTGTGCTCTTCATGAAACGGTGAAGTTTAAAGGGACTGTAAGCGTAATTTCTAATGACCTTCCATGCAAAGATGCCAATACCTGTATAATCAGCCAAAATTTACTTAATAGTATACAGACCAAAGACCATCATAATATATCGTCTTTGGCACGGTGCGCGCCTAATTTATAAGGTTCCAATAAATTCGTGAATTATCTGGCGGATTCTAACAGTATCATGCAACACGTGCGTGCTATAAGAATAACTGAAATTATTTAAGACTAGGCTTGGATTAGAATATTTATTTTCTATCATTTTTGGAAAGTAAATATTAATATTCCTTGAAAGTAAATATTAATATTCCTTGAACGTAAATATTAATATTCCTTGAAAGTAAATATTTTTATTCCTTGAAAGTAAATATTATTATTCCTTGAAAGTAAACTGCAGCTTGAATTACAAGCGTGTCTGTAGATGAATAAGGAAAGGTCTGTCATCCTTGATTAGTAAAAGGTTTAAAGGGTACCGTTGTGAATTAGTAAAAGGTTTGAAGGGTACCGTTGTGAATCAGGGATGTCCGGTCCTCTATAAAGTGAGGGTTACTTAAAACTACGCTTACATACTCTGACGTTTTTTAAAAATTAAAAACTACCTGTCCTTGCAAATTGTTTTGTCGGCCATTTTGAAACTTTTCTCGGTGTTTTGGGAAGCTTTGAAAAGCTTTGAGCATTCACTTGATTAAATAGCAATAATATTAATAATATCATCATGTCATATTTTGTGCAATACTGTTTAGCATGTATATAAAACAGGAAGATGCGACAATTAAAAGGTATTAAAGGCAGGGATAACTATGGACATTTTGTATTACAAATTTATAGAAAATTTTCTTTTCTTTTTTAAAGTTTTTATAATGTTAACATTTTTTTAAACGTTTTGTACAAACAAAATAACGGCGAACTCAAATAATTTTTTCAAGGCTACTCGAGTACTTTTAATTTGTATTTTTTGAAGCATTAAAGGGAGTGTTGAGAAAAATGAAACGGGGTATAGGCTTACGTCAAAAAATATTCGATGGTGATTACTACTAATCTTACTTCTATCAGTTGCGTTATAAGGAGAAAATTGTTAAAAACGAATCATACCAAAGAATGTAGGGTCTTTACAAATTCAGAGAGTTGCAATAATCGACTCGGATCGTAAAGAAATCAATTTAATTCCGAACAAAGCATCGAGATATTACAGCCTATAATTATCGGTTTTTTTTCGACGCATTCGTATATAGTTGATATTTCATTAATTATTAATTCGCCCACAACTTGTGGAGCTGGATTTTCTAACATCCCTAGAAAATATAAAAATGTCGTCTTCATTATAAAAAATTCTCAAACATTAATGAATGTTTTCAAAAGTAACTCTCATATCATAAAAAATAAAAATATTTTGAAATATGAACTATATACGAATACGTCAAAAAATATCGCTGATTATAGAAGCTCCAGTTCATTTCAAGTGCAGGGCCGACTTTTTACCATAGATAAATATCATCTTGAGCAAGCTGTACAGTACAATTACAGGCTATGTATAAGGCAACCTGGAACGAAACCCAAAATAAATGGCTTTAGCAAAGAAATAAACCAATTTAAAGATGCAGGTACAGTCGTCTCTGAAGTCTCATCCTTTGTGGATAATCCTGAATGTGAAACAAACCAATGTTTTCCTCACGGTTACTCAGATAAAGGGTTAACAAATGACCAATGTGAATCGAGCATATTCATTTGAAAAACGGTGACAGTCCCTTTAATGTTAATGTTAAAACTAAAGAAATGACTAGAAAATCCTCACTAAACTCCTTGTAATGAAGTTTAAGCTTTCTTCCAAGTTTAATTTCAGGCTTTGCATAAATTTAGAAAACTTTAAGGAATACTGTTGGTGACAACATTTAAAATACAGGGCGTCCCAAGAAACATGACAGTTGAGCGACGACTTATGGTCGTCGTTGATCAATTTATTATTGATCTTAGAACAAAGACGACTTTTAAGATTTTCAGAAGGCATTTAGGAAAGCTTATGAGCCGTTTAAATTAAAAACAGGTTTCGTCATTAGATCAATATCTATCAAAGAGCAAAGAAGATCTTAACTATCAAAGAAGAACTTAGTTTCTCAAATAGATTCTCTGGACACTCTCTTAAACACTATCATCATAGGCAGATAGAAAGATAAACAAACTGAAGAGAAGGAGCAAGATAGACAATTTTAAAGACTTTTTTCTCAGCTTTATGCTACACATTTAAAAGATAGAGAGACAAAGAAAAGATAGACATCAGACAGACAGGATTCAGATTAATATACAGAAAGACAAACTAAAGATGGACAGAGAGACAGACTAAAGATATACAGATAAATGACAAACTAATAATTGACAAATTTACAAACTAAAAATAGACAGTTTGACAATTTAAAGATAGACAGATAGACAGTTAGACAAACTAAAGATAGAAAGATTGACAAACTAAAGATAGACAGATAGAAAAACTAAAGATAGACAGATAGACAAACAAAAGATAGATAGATTGACAAACTAAATATAGATAGAAAGACAAACTAAATATAGATAGAAAGACAAACTAAATATAGATAGATAGACAAACTAAAGATAGACAGATAGACAAAATAAAGATAGACAGATAGACAAACCAAATAAAGAAAGATAGACAAACTAAAGATAGACAGATAGGCAAACTAAATATAGACAGATAGACAAACTAAAGATAGACAGATAGACAAACTAAGGATAGACATATAGACAAACTAAAGATAGACAGATTGACAAACTAAATATAGACAGATAGACAAACTAAAGATAGACAGATAGACAAACTAAGGATAGACATATAGACAAACTAAAGATAGACAGATTGACAAACTAAATANTATATATAAACGAATTATGCCAGATGGACTTAAAGGAACTCAACGTAATTTATAGTGAATCAATATTTTAATGAGCTGCATGCCTGATTCAAACCTTTACCTGAGTATCAACGAGAAATATACTTTAAAAAGTTTTATATTTTATGTGTTCCATCATAAATCTGCAAAGTCGCTTTAAGAACGAACCCACAATTGAAAACAATCCATTTTCAGGTAGAAAACAAGAATTCCATTACTCCTTTATCAGATGTTTAAATGATGTAAATGTAAGGTTACTTGAATTTACTCTCTAAAGCAAAATTAATCGGTTTTATCATTGAAACCCATGCTTTGTGATTTGCATTTATATAAGTTTTGTATTATTTAATATTTCCCACAGCAGAAACAAAAACCGGCCACGTTCAACCAAAGTTTAAAAAGGATATAATAAATTTCTCTTTGCTGTATTATCGTACGCTAAACTAATTATAAAATATGTAAGACTTGTTGAACTATAGTTTTAAAACTTTGTAACATTATTCAAGCAGATGTTAAAAGCAGTTCCAAAAAATATCAGAGAAATTGCGTACAAAAAATTATTCATAAATTAAAACCATTGCAACGCGTAAGATAACAATATCAAAATCTCGTGCAAACATTTTTGGGACACAAATAGCCGAAAACTGCACCAGCAAAATTTTGAAACAAATTTAATGGAGCAGTCACCCATTAACTGCTATTGGAGTGCAAGGTTGTACTAACAACCCCGGCTATCTTTAGTTGAGTGTAGAGAATACAGTGTTTAGAGAATTGGATCGCCCAGCTACACTCTATATAGAGAATAGAGATAATAAAATATAAAATATGGGATCATACAATCCAATCTAATACAGACCATTATACGGGATGTCACACTAACAAAATGACACTACAAAAATTATGACATAAGACAAAAAAACATGAAAAATTGAAAAGATAAATTCAATTGTTTCCAACTGAGGTGACAAAAATTGCATATTTGTAAGAATAGGGAAAAGGGTTGACAATAATATGAAATATTTTTATTTTAGCAAAATGCCATATTTTTAAAAATTCGGCATTTTTTTAAAAACAAGCCTTTTTAAAAATGCATGCATATTCATACTTTTTTCTAGAGGAAGGGGGGACATGGTTCGCCCCGTCTCCTTCCCCCTCGTTTTTAGATATTTTTTTGTTTAGTTAATAGTTCTTGGTTTAATGGGACACCCTTTTAATCCTCAATACAATCCAGTTTTATGGGAAAAGGGGACAGTACATCCATGCCATGGTATATCCAGTATCCACCCTTTTATTCTATATTCTCTAATACTATGCTGGGGAACCCAGCTTTGCCTGAAAATTTCCCCCACCCCCTCCTTATCACCAACACACCAACTGTAAAATGCCAAAATATTTTTTAAATTCACCCTATGAAATGCGCGAATGCGAAGTATGAAAAATGCGCATTTTTTATACAATCCATTGATGACTGCAGTCTTTGTAAACAAATGGTTGTAATATTTCTAACACAGGATAACAATTTCAATATTAAGCAAACTGAAGCAACGGAATACTAACGAGGTTACGAGACGAATGATAAAAAACATATTTTTTTTGTAACGCACTTGTCTAATTTTGAAGTTAGTTAGTTTTCCAGTTAGTCAGTTGGCCAATTAGTCAGCTAGTTATTTAGATAGTTTGCTAGTTAGTTAGTTAGTTAATTAGTTGGTTAGCCAGTTAGTTGATTTGCTGCTGCAATAGTTAGTTAGTTAATTAGTGAGTAAATTATTTAGATAGTCTGTAGGAAGTAAGATAGTTAGTTAGTTAGTTTGTTAATTAAATAGTTACTTAGTTACTTAGTTAGTATATATAGTTAGTAAGCTATTTAGTTATTTAGTTAATAAGTTAGTTAGGTATTTAGTTAGGTAGTTAGTTAGTTAGTATGATATTAAGGTGGTTAGAATACATAATTCGTTAGTTAGTTAGTTAGTTAGTTAGTTAGATGGTTTGCTGCAGAGCTAGTTAGTTAGTTAATTTGTGGGTGAATTATTTAATGAGTCATTAAGAAATTTGTTAGATAGTTAGTTAGTTAGTTAGTTAGTTAGTTAGTTAAATAGCTATTTAATTAGTTAGTTAGTTAGTTAGTTAGTTAGTTAGTTAGTTAGTTAGTTAGTTAGTTAGTTAGTTAGTTAGTTAGTTAGTTAGTTAGTTAGTTATTTAGTTAGTGAGTTGGTTAGTTAGTTAGTATTTTGGTATTTAGTGAGTAAATTATTTAGTCGGCACGTTAGTAAGTAAGTTAGTTAGTTGGTTAGTTAGCTAAATATTTGGAAAGCTAGTTATTTAGCTACTTAACCAGTAAGTTAGTTAATTGATTAGTTGGTTAGTTATTTAGTTCTTTACTTAGTCTGCTAGTTAGTTTGCTGTAGAGCTAGTTAGTTAGTTAATTAACGTGTAATTTATTTAGTAAGTCAGTTAACCGTTTAGTTTGTTAGTAAGTTAGTTAGTAAGTTAGTCAGTTATTTAGTTAGTCAGTTAGTCAGTTAGGCAGTTAATTAGTTATTTATTTGGTTAGTTAGTTAGTTGGTTGGTAAGTTAGTTAGTTAGTTGGCTAATTAATTTGAAGGCTAGATATTTAGCTGGTTAAAGAGCAAGTTAGTTAGTTAGTTAGTTAGTTAGGTAGTTAGTTAGTTAGTTACTTAGTCAGTTAGTGAGTTAAATAGTCAATTAGCAAGTTAGCTAGTTAGTTAGTTATTTATTTAGTTAGTTGGTTAGTATATATAGTTAGTTAGTCAGTGAATTAGTCAGTTAGTTAGTTAGTTAGTTATTTGGTGAGGTAGTTAGTTAAATAGTTATTTGGCTAGTTAGTTGGCT